TATATATATATATATATATATATATATTTTCATTGAACTTTCATAACTGATTGAGCAGGTAAAGTATGTCACAAAAGATTTCTGCAAATATTTTACTACTTATTTTAATGTTTAACATTTATGTAGAGCAACAATTCTTTTCTTTTCAGATCCTCAGAGAGTTCTTTGCCATGAGGTGCCATGTTAAACTTCCAGTGACCAGTATAAGGATATCACTTAAATTTTAGGTCAAATCAAAGTGAAATTAGTGTTATTGATTGAATATTCTCTGTAATAAATACCAGTAGAATAATCCATTTTCTCTGTTTTATCAGCTACAGTACCAGCAGAGTAAACGGACTTGACAGGAAATTAGAGCCAAACATAAAAACTTATTTATGTGATTTCTGCATCACCAACTAAATACATGTCGGGTTCCCATGGCAATGTGATATTTACAGTGTATGACACTGTAAGTACACGGCTTCATTCAGTGATATTAGTAACGCACAACTCAGCGTGTTTGCAGATAAAACAGCAGAGAATCTGTATTGCTCATAAATAATAGTAAACAATTTGGTTAAAGGGAGACGCTCTTTCCAGCTGATTTAAATCCGAAACTCTGAACATAACCTGCCCCCGAGTAAGATAGCTCCACGGCTTCAGTTACCATGGAGATCTAGCCAGGTAAAAAGAGAGCCACCTTCATGACACTGAAAACTGTGACTTTAGGCTCAACATACCTTGATAACCCACTAATCTTGCTTCGTAGTACAGCCCTCTGGTGTTTCAAAATGTAAACTGTTAAAGATAATAAGGCTTTTAACTTTAATAGTTCCTGAGATATTGATTCAAATTTCAGTGTGCAAAATAACGTGCTGAAAGTGGGTTGACAGGCAGTTTTAAAAACAAAAAATCTTGGAAAGCTTCTGATATATTAAGCTAAACTTTCCCAGTTATCTTTATAAATATCCATATTTTATGCTATAAAATTTTCTGGCAAATCAGACGGTCGAGCAGAAATTATTGTAAAAAAACTGATAATTTAGGGAAGAATATATTAGAAGCTGAGTCACGCATAGGGTTGGTCTACGTATTTAGCATTTCAGTTGCCTTAAGATGGTAACATTTTGCTGTATCTATTGTACCAGTTGTGTTTTTGGTTGCTGTGTTAAGCTTGTCCTCAGCATTTTGATTATTACTGTGTGTGCGTACGTTTCCTGTAGCTGCTGTCGGTCACTGAAACAGACTCACACCAGCAGATACACAAATTTAGATCATACAGGAAGAGGAAGCTGCTGCACATCACTTCCCTCATTCATTAGTTCAAACCACCTCTGGTACTTTGACACCTTTTAAACTTCACCAGCTAATCGTGTCTTACACTCCCCTCAACAGTATAGTGAACGTGGCCGTAGTGTGATGAGATCTTACATATTCCAGATGTTTCAAAGCGCCACTCGCTGCATCCTGGGAGGAACTCTTTAAGTGGAGGAAGACACAGGAACAAAGGTTACACAATCTGTTGACTGTCCTCCTCGGAGGTGAAAGTTTAAAGGTCAGTGATGGCAGAAAGTCAAACTCCACCTTTAATCAAAGCCAGACATTTCTCAGACGGGCTGTGAATCTGTGAGATTAGTATCTACAGCCAAAGCGAAAACTTCACTCCCAGGAAAGATTAGTTCCAACACAACACTAACAGTACTCAGTTCATTTAGCTGATAAGATTTAACAGCGTGGAGGTTAGAGGAGTGTATTAGTGCAGTTGGAGAAAAAGCTTTATTGGAGTTTGAAGCACCTTCAAACTGCCCTGCTGGGGGAGAAAACCCACCAGAGTTCACTGGAAGCTACAGTCTGATTGGTTCAAAGCACCTCAGCCGGAGTGAATCAGCAGAGACAGAGGTGAAGCAGAGTAGTAGAAGGAGGAGGAGGAGGAGGAGTCCCTGAAGGCACAACCGAGATTAAATGATGAGTTAGTTTGAGGTCAAGCTGCACTGCAGACTTATAGACTCAGCCAGGACCTCAGAGTTTACAGGTAAAGCCTCAGGTTCACCAGGAGGAATAACAGGACAATTAAGAATTTAAGATTAGAAATGAACAATTTTCTGTTTCTACAGTTTCTTGTTTTGATAAATGTAGGAATTTAGGCCATTAAAAAACAAACCAACAAAAACAAACAAACAAAAAGAACATTACCCTTACTTTCAATCCTGTTGCCAGGTTTTGGGTTTCAGAGGGTTAAAAAAAAAAAAAGTCAATGAAGTTCTGCATCAGAACTCGATTTAGTTTATGTCCGAACAAATGCCACAGATGCAAGATCCTGATGTGAAATGCAAATACTGTTCCTTTGACTGTTGTCTGAAGGCAGCCTTGGCTTTTATTTAATTTTTTGTGAAGCTAAATCTTATTTACCAAACTGTCCAGCAGGCGTCTCCAGTCTGGTGGAGCTGAAGATGACACACAACAAGTACACTAAACATACAGATAATTAGAAGTGTGTGAGAGTTAAAATCTGTTGTGGTTGCATTCGTGCAAGTCTTTGATCATCACTGGGCTGTTTGGTCCAATTGACTTGTCTAAATGAGGCGGCTAACAATGACATAAACCTGTTTATACTGCTTTTACGGGCTCCTGACTTTTACAGACAGTCTCAAAAAAGTGTGAACTTTCCCTTTAATTGGTACACCAAAAAAAATCACAGTTGGGGAAAAAACTTTTGCTGCTTTCAGCCAATCACACATTGGTAGAGTCTGGATGCGATTGTGGTCGAAGTAACAACTAAACGAGATCCAAATAAACATTCAACTCATTTTTCAACAGAGTAAAAGCAGCTTTAAATCCAACCAACATCTGGGTTTCTTACGCCTGTTTTTGAAGGATCTCATCAGAAAACGTTGATAGAAACAACTTAAGGCAGTTTGTGATGTTTTACAACAGAAGTAGTCCTACATGGGAGCTGAGTAAGTTCTGATCCAGCAAAGCAAAACTCACATGACTGCACTGTGTGTAGGTTGGTGGCAGGTTGCGAGCGAATATATATCATATACCACCACAACGACCGAATATTTGGATATATGGATGTTCGGGTCCAGCCCTACTGTAAATATCATGTTGCCATGGGAACCCGACATCTTAAGTTGACAATTCAGAAATCACATGAATATGTTTTTATATTTGGATCGGATTTGCTGTCAAGTCCGTTTACTCTACAGGTACTGCAGCTGATAGAACACAGATGAGAAAATGGATTATTCTAGTGGTATTTATTACAGAGAATATTCAATCAGTAACACTAATTTTGCTCTGATTGGGCCAAAAATTACAGTGATATCCTGCATTATGGGACAGTGTCAGACCTAAATGCACTTCAAATATGTTAAGTTTAAAGTTTAATTTTAACATGCAGCTGTCAGTTGGAAATAAACGGCTGCATCAGTAAAATATATATTAACACGTTTAACAGTTTTCTACCAGCAGTTCTGTCTTGCACCATTTGCAGTAGCGGCGCTTTTTACCGTCATAATTTTTATATATTCCTCATTGTTCTCCATTAAAACAACATGTTGACTGAAGCAGCTGCACACGATCGTTTCATTATGTTCAGAAGAAGAGTTATGTGACGCGTTAAACGCTCCTTTTTATGTGAACGCGCACAGAGTCTGAAGCAGGAAGTCTGAGTTGACAAAGAAAGTTGATAACTACCTTTGTGATACCCGTAATCTCTGGCTGGGGCTGATTTTTCTCGAGCCGGCTTACACAAAAGAAAGCCTGGCTATGTCGGACTTGCTTCGTAGTACAGCCCTTTGATCAGCTGTTTTTACTTCTTTTTTGTCATCATCTCCAGACTGCATGAAACAGGCCTGACATCAGCTGACTTTAAAGAAGAATTACAACTTCTCTGATTGAAAACAATTCATGAAGGATTTCTCTCCATTTTTCTTTCAAAGTGTTGTTAGTTTCATCTATTTCCTGGTGTATTTTTAGTAGTTAACAAACAGCTGGTGTTGTGCCCGGCATCTTCTACTGTATTTATTACTGCCATGTTTTGTACAGTCTATAGAAGCATCATCCAATTACCAGATTATGGTTATCTTTATTGTTATCGTACTCTCACATTAAAGCTGCTTCACTCAGCCCATCCAGGCTCCAAACAGACCAGATGTTGTGTTGTTACTCTTCTAGCAGGTAAATTAATTGGCTGGTTATCGGCATGTGAATATTTATTACTAACAAAGAAAGAAAAATGCCAGTGAATTATCTTAGTTGTAAAATCATTTATATTTGGACCTACAAGTGGCTCCTTGCTCGACTGGTGAGGATAAGTTACCAATGTATGTAAAGATGCTGTAATGATTTAAAAGCAGGACTAAACATGCATCAAAGAACTGGTAAAACTTTCTGCCATGAGATGCTTGATAAATACAGTCAGGGCCTGGTTTGATGACACAGTTCAGTGTTTCTACATGGCTGTAAGGTTTCATTTTCTGCAGAGTCGACCAGAAAATTCATGAAAAAACCACAAAAGATTTTCTAAAAATCTGCCATGATTGGCCTAAAACTCCCTCACACTGTCTGTCTGCATCTTCTGTGGCTCTATCCACATCACTCGATCCATCTCTGCTGATTTAAGTAGGAAAATGTGCAGCAGACTCTATAAGCAGACACAGTGTAGCAGAGCTGCGTTAATTAGCTGGGTCTCTTTGACATGAACCAAAGCCACATAAAAACAGAGCTCGGCTCCTTTTTAAATGGCTTCCTCTGTCTTAACAGCTCTGGGATTTACTGCGGCGGCGCTCACCCACTCCCTCGCCGTTCAGACTTTTTAATTGCTCCCTCAACAAAGCACACAACGTAAACACGGCAGCGTTTTGTGCAGCCGCCCGCGTGGACGAACAGAAACACTCACGGTGCTTTTCCTCTACACACTCCCTCTTCTTTCTGCCTCCTTGTTAAGCAGCATCCTGAGGTGAAGCCAAACTAACTGTGCAAGGAGGCAGAGTCACACCCCGGAGACTGTAGCGCAACTGTGCACGAAGGCAAAAACACGCCACAAATACACTGCTGGGGTGTGTTTCTGCTACGACCAGCAGTAATGAAGAAGGTCAAACACAGAAGCCAGAGATCTTTATTAAAAGCTGCTCTGTAGAAAGAGGCCGGTGTTTTCTCAGACAGCCTGAACAAACTGAACTCTGGAGGTCACTGTAGGTCGAGGAGAAGCTAACGGAGGACTTGATAACTGAACATGAATAAATAATAGAGATGATAGAACAGGTTATTCCATCTCAAAACATCAGAGGCCTTCTGCTCCACCATCTGAGTAGCTTCAAACTTTTTTTTTTACAGCATAAACTATAATGTTTAAAAAAAAATGCCCACCCACATACTTTCAGCTCATTTTCTCGCACACTGAAATTTGAGACTGTGTTGATGACGATATCTCTGAAACTATTCAAGATTCGAACATCTGGGAATCATGTCAAAAGAAATGTATTACTAATCAAAAAGCACTATTTGGTAACGGTTTTACAAACAAGATCTGGGTTCTCTCCGGGTTCTCCGGCTTCCTCCCACACAGTCCAAAAACATGTTGAGGTTAATTGGTGATTCTAAATTGTCCGTAGGTGTGAATGTGAGTGTGCTTGGTTGTCTCTCTCTAAGTGTGGCTCTGCGATGGACTGGCGACCTGTCCAGGGTGTCCCCTGCCTTCGCCCCCCCCCCAAGGTTGGGATAGGCTTCAGCCCCCCACGACCCTAGTGAGGACGAAGTGGTGTATAGATAATGGATGGATGGAACTCTGTTTTACCAATAGTTGGTTTGTGTGGTACAACTTGCATAACTACAGATGGAGAAGTCAATTTTCTGAACCAAAACCAACTGCAGGTCATAAAAACAGACCTGCTCAATTAATTATGAAAGTTATTTTTCATTTTTGCGACCAAATATTTCATACCAAAAGGCATTGTTTTTGGGTTGTTTGCATTATTGTTACATGCAGCTACATATGGTTCAGAAAATGTAGACTTTAACTGAGTATAACTGAGCTTCAGTGTTCTGTTGATCCTCTGCAGGTCAAACTGCAACACCTTTACACTCACCAGAGTTGACAAAACTGACCTCACCAGCAGCTCTCATCCAATCTACAACTCTGAACTGACTCATTAAATTGATCGTGTGTTCCTTAAAAGTTTGCATAAATGACCTTTAACACTGTTGCTTCAAAGATTTTCTCAGGATTACTTTGATCCAGTATGAACTGTGTTTCAGTTAATTTAAAGACATGATAAATTTCCACCAGAGGTTGGAATAAAACAGAACCTTTACTACAAATATAAGGCCAAGGACTCCGCTGCTGTGTTTATAACGCAGATAACTGCAATCATTTTTGTTTAAATGATTCACCTCTTAAGAGTTAAATCCAGTTGAAATGTTTTCCATTTCTCTGAGGCGCCCCGAACGCACCCCAGCAACATCTGGTTGTGCCAGAGAACAGCGTCTTTACAGGTGAGCAGAATGATGAGTTTTAGTGAGCGAGAGGCCAGAAGGATTAATGCAGTGTTGTGAGAGAGAAGCCAGCTGCTAGATTCATCTGTGCTAAAGTCATTATTCTGACACATATGACATGAGGAGGACAAACAGGAAGTGCGAGGACAGGAAAGTGTGTTCATTTACCTCTTTGGCTCTCTGCACAGCATCACTGGGAGGGTTTCTGATCTGTGGGGACGACTTGGTGTTGATCTTATCGTAGAGCTGAAACCAAAGATAAGAATCAGTCAGTCAGTCAGTCAAACTGTGAGGGTGTAGTCTGAGATCAACAGCCAGATAAGAAAAAGTTCACACATGTATATTCAGATTTTTTTTTCCTTTTGTCATGAAGATTGCTCAATTTAAGCCTTTGTAACCTGAAGGAATGACTTTGTTTTAACATATTCTACACTAGTCCCAACACAGTACAATGAGTTCATGAATTAAATACTTAAAAGAAGTAATCATTCTCTTTATTTCCTTTAGTTTAACCCACTGAAGTGAAAAACCTGCCAGCATGTTTAGTTGAAGAAAAATCACCAAAAATACACCATTTGTCAGAGCTAGCAACTGTAAAAACTGAAATAATTGTCAGATTTTTAATTTCCAATATTTGTTTTTGTGATTTACTGCTCAAAAGACATTTCTGAGTTCTCTCTCCTTCTTGTCATGGTTGTGCTGTTTCCACAGAGGTGCAGGATTTTATATTGTGGTGACAAATGAGCCCACAGTGAAGAAAGATGTGACACGATAACAGTCACAACAAGTCGATACCAGAATACGGTAAACAACAAAGACAGAGAGCAAAAACAGAACCAACAAGACCTGGAAGTTTCTTCACGTTGTCTCGGATTGGATTTTTCTAATTTTTACACTAATTACTAATTACTAATTTGTTCTTTTTTTTAATATCTGTACTGTAAATGTGTAAATTTGTTTGGTTTAGTAAGTAAAGGCACTAAAGCCACACTGTGAAAGTTACTACAGGTAAAAATCCAGCATTAAAAATGTCGAAGACACAATTTAGCATAAAGTTTCTGAAAAAAAATGAAACTGTCATGAAACTGTCACCTGTGCCTTCACTGCATTCGGGAAGACTGCGTTTTGTTACAGTGCCCCTTGGTCCTGGAATTTGATCCAGAAAACGCTCAAACTGTCTGACCTTGTTTCCTCGGGAGATTTTAAATGTTTGTTACAAACTGTAAAAACAGAAGTCTGTAGCTGCTTTAAATGAGTTTTTATGTACTGTACGTATTCCATGTATTTATGCCTTATAGTGATGATATATTATTTAGTTTATTTTTTGTGTTGTATTGTTGTAACCCTTGTTGATGCCGCCTTTGCCAGGGCTCTCTTGTACCTTGTAAAAGAGATGTCAGTCTCAATGGGACTCACCTGGTTAATTAAAGATTAAATAAATAAATAAATGAATGAATAAAAAAAAATTTCAACAACTTAAACCATTTACTGCTTAAAAAAGGTATTTAGTGGGTTAAAAAACAAAGATTTATTCCCCACTTGTTATGAGCTCCATCTCTTAGCTTGCTATAGCTGTAGTTGAGTTTTTTTTCTCTTTCACAGCATCTAACTGTTAACAAGAAGGATCTGTTTTCTCATCTCCCTGACTGAAGGACGGCAGACACGAGAGCTCTGTTTATAAAAATGCCAGCTGACTAATAAACTGCACGGGGGCCCAGTCGCAGATGAGTGTGGGTGTATTTAAGAGACTGTATGTTTGCACACAAAATGGCCCTGACACAGTGGAAACAAAGGCAGCAGCTGGAGCTCAAATCAAAGCAGCAAGTGGCTTTTTCTAACAACACACACAGACCACCGCGGGTTTCTAAAGCAGCCATTATCATATACAAAGAAACACCAGCGTGAGGTTTGATGAGCAACTTGTATTTTTCATTTAACCTGCTGCACGGTGCAAAGCAGGGAGTCTTGCATAACGTGAACACAGAAAAACACTCAGACGCAGAGACGAAAACAGAGCTTTTGTGTCAGACAGTTCAATGCAGCACTGAGACCCAAAGATCTTCTGTTCTCGCTCTGACAGCAGTTCAGACATGTGATGCTGGACTTCATCACGGGGCAACATGATGATAAACAAACAGGAAACAACACGAACCTGAAAACATCTTTTTGTTTCTCAGAAATTGTGGGAAAAAAGGGAAAAACGTAACGAATCGTACAGACAGAAGACGTTTGTGGTGACAAACTGAAGGCGGTTGGTGCCTGAAGAATGAAAAAAAGTGAGTTTCCCTAACAGCACAAGAAAAAATAATCTACAAACTCATGTTCTGTTGTTGTAAATCTTTATAAACCCCAAATACAACCCAGAGTATTTGATTTTGTTTTTTGTGTTTTATTGTCACTCACACTTCAAGAGCTCTGAAATCCCAAAAGATTTTTAAGTCATGTTGCATCACCCACATAAACTTCTCAGAGATTCTTCTCTCTAATCTCAGATGTGCACACACTGAAGGGAAATAAAGGTGCATCACACACAATACAATATATTACTGAGTTTATGGTGTCAGCGGGAGCCGTCAGGGAGCAGAGCAGCATCAAGATGGAAACAAACTGGGGTGCAACAACCTGCTGCAACGCTAATAAAACTGTCCAAAAGCAGAAACAAGTCTGGATGACAGAATAGTTGATAAGATGTCATCAACACCTTCTAATATGTGGAAACGCTGGAAGTATTAAGATCTTTCACGTAACTACAAGTTGTATTCCTACACAATATAAATACTCCATTACTAGTATTAACAGCAGAATGGACTTAACGTACTGAAAGTAAAAGTCTACTTTAACATGCTTTTATTTTGTCAAAATGGTGAAAAAAATGTCAGTTTTGTCACTTAATGTACTTTAATTTAAAAGAATTTGCCATATTTTATAAGTTGATCATGATTTTGTTTGTAAAGTCTTTTAGCTCAAAAGAAACTACAGTGCATGCAGTCACTATGGCTTTAAAATAAGTAAAAAATATATTTACTTGTGAAATGCACTGAAACAGAAGTACAAAGCAACACCAGATAGAAACTGATATAACTGCTACTAATATTTGAGTCATCCACCAGAAAAAAAGAACAGGAGACAGATACCTGCTGAAAGATTTACTGCTGAAGCAGCAAATAAAAAACAAAAAAATAGAATTATCACTTCTGTAGCCAGTCACTCTGCAGGTTACATCCATGTCTGTACAAACTCATAATAGTTTTTCACTCTATGTGGGTTAAACTTTAATCTGTGGTTCACAAGCTTAAATCTGGGTGGGTTTACACACAGACCAGCAATGGTCATAAAGGCAGAAAAGTGCTTTTTTTTCAGTTGGAATTTTAGATATAAAAATATCATCACTTCATATTTTTATCTTTTAGACATTTGTGTAAATTCTAATCTGATTTTGTGTACAAATTCTTCGATTTTGAGACGTCACAGTGACCTCTGAGCACCAAATTTAATCTCCTTGAATCCAAGCAAACGTTTGTGGCCAAATTTGAAAAGATTCCCTGCAGGTGTTCCTGATTTATCGTATTCATGAGAATTGGAACGGACAAGCTGAAAACACGACGCCATAATGGAGGTCCAACAGAAAGCAATCGCTGGAGTGGAGCTCCAGGCTGATCCACCTGCAGCAGATAATTGGCTTGAAATCATCACAAAGATTCATGAGATGGAAATAATGACTTTCCCACAAAAACTGAGAAATGATTTACACACTGCAAGATGGACAAAGTGGATAATTTATTTGCTGGATGACAGAATGTGGCCGACTTGCTCCTTAAGATCTCATTTGCCTTGTTTCTGCTGTGTGCTTTGGCAGTCATAGCTAATTGTGGGCAAAATACGTAGAGCTGTTATGTTTTATGTTTGTGATGTTTGGCGTTAATGCTGGTGTGGTGTGGGGGAAAAAAGGACTTTGTTTTAAGATATAAAGGCCGAAAGAGAAGAGATCTGGTATCTGACTCTTATTTTTTTTTAATAAAGTAATGTCCAGAGTGGTTTTAATTACAGTGCTGCAGCAGGGAAAAATTATAAAATAATACCAGATAATGCAAAAAAATAATAAATAAATAAATAAATAATAATAATAGGCTGTAGAACATGTTCATTTGTGTGATTCTCTGCAAACTGGACTGTTGAGATCATAAAAAAAAGATTGTGGGTGTATTTCTGCAAATGCAAAAGCTAACACTGAGTGCGGAGGAGGAGGAGGAGGAGGATGTCGGGGCTGTGCATCTTTTCCCACTGCGACAACCTGACACCACCAGAACGCACACAAAAAACAAATGTTCCCGGGAATGACGACATGGCGCACAACCAAAGTGTGCATCTGCATCACGAACAAACTCTCCGAAAGACAAACACGACACACTCCTCGGGAAAATCCTTATAAGTCTGCAGAAATAAAGCAGAAAGCCTGAGGGCTGAATCGTACTCAGCACGACCCAGTGCGTGTCGTCCCACATGCCGTCTGCAGCCGCTGAGCATACATACATATTTACTGCACTCTTGTCCTTTGTGCTTTCAAGGCGACTTGTCAACATCTATTTGCTTTTGTTGAGTATTAAGTAAACTTGAGTTGACCTCTGAAGGGGTTTTACTTGAAAATGTACAAAGGTTCTGCAGCCAATAACTAAACAAACTGTAAGAAACATGCAGCTATTTACAGGTATGAAGCGAGTGCGGCTCACGCTGTGGCTGTATGAGCTGACAGTCACAACAAACAAAGATGATATCTTAATTTCTTATTAGTGACAACTAAATGCAGACATCTGTTCCTTGAGGGTAGTTTCTATCTCTGCCTCCGTTTGCTCAGAAGCGTCGAAAACTAGCACATGAGAAATAAAAAATACAAACGCACTCGACTAAAGCGTCTCATTATACATGTCAAACGCCAGAAACACACACGGGGGGACGACTTCAAATTAGCTCGAGGCATCTCTTGACAAAACACTCTTCCTGCAAACACATCAGAAGACAAAACAGGAAGAGAACACAACTCACCCTGAAAGACGGCAAAGTGCTTTGTCAGAAAAACAAAAACAACAAGAGTGTGGGTAAGTTTTCTCAGCCAGAAGGCTCTATCCACTCTGCATCCACAGGATTTCTGGTTTCTGAGTGCTTCGGCAGCGTGGAGGCTACTTTCAGCTGCATAGATAGTGATGGAGGCTGAGCTCGCCGTGAAAGGCACCGAGGCCAGACAATACAGGCCATTGTTAGTTCGGGGTCTGAGGCTGTCCTCCTCAGACTCCCCCTCTTCTCTGAGCAGGCAGGGGTGTGAAAGTGAGGCTGAAAAGGAGACATCTGCAGCCCCAGGCTCCCACTGACACTGCTGCAAACACACACTCTTGGCAGATCCACTCGTCTCCTGAAGCCCACTTCAACATATTCAGCCTCCAGCGACTGGGAGAGCCTTTAACACAACACACACCTCTCTTCAGCGATCGCTTCTTCCAGCAGCCCCAGCAGCTCAATCAAATGTTTTCATTTCAGCCACATAGGACGAATTTTGAACTTTACGAAGAAGGTCAGCCTCGTCACTGATAGAGTAATCAAAGTGTTTGTCTTTGCAAGAATCTATGATATTACAGTCGTGATGCAATAGTCCGACCCTTGACAATCTGAAAACCTTGCTATCCAACAGGTTTTTAGGAAAAACAAACAGAAGCCATTAAAAATAGCCTTAACATACCGACAGCCTTGGATTCCGACTCCAACATGACATTTTATGTCACAAATAAGGATAACAGCGTATTATCTGACTTAATAATCCGACAGACTGGCGATGTTCAGACTGCAGGACTTACTGCTCAATTCAGATTTTCTTGGGAAATGCAATTTTTTTGCGAGTTCGTTCACATTTCCAATTAAATACGACTTGTATGTGATCTGCTGTGTGGACTTAATACGACCCAAAAGTGTCCTGCATGCGCAGAAGAGGACAGGAATGCAAATTTTGAACGCTTTTCTTAGTCAATAATCTGCAGTTATAGCAAATAATAAACTACTAATTGATGACACAAATCTAGCACAATGGACATTTGTCCCGTGCTGCCTTTGCTATTTCAGTTAACGAACACGTGACAAGTGCTGCAAAATCTCAGTTACATGCATCACTTGGATATACGAATGCTGTCCTAGTCAATTGCAGCTTAATTTAAACACAAGAGTGCTGCCTGGAGGACATTAAGCATCGCACAAGTCATTGCTATGGTGCCTGTTGCTAGCTAAATGCCCGCAATGCTCTCTGCTTGTCAACACAGAAGTTTGTGCAAATATGCAACACACATCAAACCTCCAATTTTGCTCTTCTATTCACATAGTACTGCGTAGACATCAGCATATCTACATAATGCAATCATTGTGCCACTTTGTGTAATTTCAGATAGCCCTGTCGTTGTAATTTTTAAAAATATTTTGTTTGGAGCTTACAAAGATTCCCAGGCCGGAAAATATATGAAAATCATGAAATTCAGTCAAAATATTTTGCAGAATTTATTTTTGGGTCCCAAATAACAAATATGTAAGCTCAAAATGTGAGACAGTGGAATCTCACCACTGTCTGCAAATGACATAAATTGGCCCTCTTATCTATGCAATGATATGTGAATATCATACCACAAGAAAGAGTAGAACAGGAGATGTGAACATAAGCAGCAGCATTTCTTAAATTCTAGCTTACTGATACAGACTGACGCAATAACATATCTAAATATGACTATATCTCTACAACGGCAAGTTAATGAGCAATTCAAACCAGAGTAGCAGGTGTGGAGACGAACACAGACCTGTGGGCAGATTGCAACTGATGTTTAACATAATGTAAATTGAAATCACTTTTTCTTGCTGACACAGATAAGCACTAGCATTGTTGGAAAGGTCAAGTTGTGTAGTTTAATTCCATATGCATTACACTTTGCTGCAATAAATCTTTAGAAAGTGACACACTAAACAGCTGGGGGAGGAAACAGAGAAGGGAAGGAAACTCTCATGTATCAGCAGAAGAAAAGACAAAGTTAAAGGGAACAGGTGATCCAGTACATGTGGTTAAACACAGGTGCACCAGAGCTTCCTGCTGCTGCAGTCTGCCGATGTTTGAACTCTTTAGGAATTTCATGATGATGCATTTTACTGAAATCCAACTGTTAAAACCAAGTGTTGTGTAAAAAGCATGCAAATCATTATAATGTCTGAACAGCGGATAGCAGGATGTCATGTATTTATGTCAGTGACACAAAATATTAAAGACAGAAATTCAGATATAAAACCTTGAGAACTAAAATTACCCAATTAAACATGCTGAGAGTCTAGTCCTTATGTAGATTAAGATGGGAATTTAATTGTAATTTTTATTTCTCATTATAATAACATAACTTTACCCAAAAGCCTCAGAGAAGGAGGACAAACTCCAGTTATTTGATTACTTTTAAGGATAAATATGTGTATCACAGCAGCTGAACTGAATATAAACATACAGTGTATTAATTGCTGTTTGCCGTTTACTCTCTGATGTCTATTTCTTCATGTTGTAAAACTGAAAATTCCCAATATAACAGATTATCTGTTTAACACTCAGAGACATAAAACAACACAGCGAAAGAGAGGGGAGCAAACAAAGTGGGCTCAGAGTCTCCAAATAGGAACACAGAGCGATGAAATGATGCACTCAGAGTCAAACTAATCTAAAATGTTGTCCTGTCTCTGCACTGGCTCACGTAAAGGGGGATTTTGTGACCCAATATGGTGCTAATGTGACGAACCAGTTGTAAGTCGAACGTTTGCTGCTGTGACCTACAGCTCAAACATCTGAGAGCCACCGAAACAAGCAGTGACCAACTATTTGTTAAGTTTACAGGCAAATCAGGGGGAGGAATTTAATCACACGCCCAAAAACAACATGACCTTTATATAGTTCTTCCAGGGGAATCCCTGTGTGAAGGTGGAGGGAAGCTGTTTGTGCCTCTTACTGCATTGAAGGTGGAGTCTGTGGTGGGTGATATTCCCTCTCCACCTCCCGTTTCCCACATTTCTGCTCATGCATATTCATGCTTGTGCACAGGACATGTGGAAGAGTGTGCGGATCAGTCCGAGCCACTTTGTTTCGCATTCACAGAGCACTTTGTGTGTGTCAGTGCTGCAAAGACCCACTTTCCAACACAAAACCAACACGTCGCCTCCCCTCATCTGCATGAAACTCCCATCGTGCCTCTCCTCGCACTTTTTGCATCATGCACACTGAGCTGGGCACAAGAATACCAAAGAGCATTTCAACACCAGGGAGGTGGCTTTGATGTAGTGTGTGTGTGAATACTCCTTCTTTTTCTATTTTTTAAGATATGTTTTTTTTCTACAATTCCAAAGAAACTGCAGTTGCTGCCACTGGAAAAATAAAACTCATCATCTTCTGTCGCAGCTGTGCTAAACAAGACGAAGGCTCTCTGAAGCTTTAATGAACTGGACAAAGTCATTCTGTTCCATTAGTTATCCATTAAACAGAGCAGAAAGACAGCTATAGTGAAAAACTGAAAATAAATTACTCATAAAAGGGGGATCATTTGTCCCGTGTTGCTGTTTGACACTTACGTCGAGCAGTGTGTGTAGATGCTGGTCCTGGAAAACGCTGTGGAGGAAATCTAAATCCTTTTCGCTGCAGTCCGTCAAAGCGTGGATCTCCTCTAAACTGTCCAACACCTGAGACACAGCGCCTACAAAACACATCACAGCTGCATCCGTCACCTTGGGGTTTCAGAATACTTTCACACAAGCACATGTCGTAGACCAAGACACTTTTTTAATGAAGTCAAACTACTACAAACACAAAAGCCTTTTTCAGACATGAGATATGCAACACTGTCTGTTGAAGTCACTTCATTCTGTCATTTAGATATGGGCCACTTTAATGTTCCATGTGGCTTCATTCAGAAAGAGACACTGGAGGATATTTGTCATTTATGTGAAATAGTGACGCACAATACTTAATAATAATAATAATAATAATTTAAAAAAGACTAACCATAAACTTAAAGCAAATTTATTAAACTGTCCAAATAACCACCTGCCTAGTTAATTTAAATTTTATTTCCTCCCCTACATGTGTGATGACAATCTAGCTACTAATTTACAAACAGTAAAATACCTCAAAATACCCAACTGGTCTTGTTTTTACATCGGGGATGATTTGCGCATCTTTTTTTCCCTCATCCTAAAAAAACCTGTTGCTTTCCATTTGCATGTACCTTTAATTTTTAGTCCATTCGTGCTTTAAATAACTGAATATAAAACTGCTTTAGATGCTGATGTATTTGTTGTTTTAGCTCGGTTTTTGTAAGTGAGATGGTACCATTTGTGATGTTTTTATGTGTTCTGTATTTGTGTTTTTTGAACCCCTTGGAAAATGAGACACCACATCTCGAGGGACTATCTATCATTTCAATGAATTCAAAATTAAATAGGTAATTAATGACGGTACTGCTGTTTTACATAAATGCAGCAGCTTCCTCTCTTTCGAGACGTTAATGCGGATCTTGCTGCTGTTTGACGCAGCAGGTATCTAATAAACTCAGAGGAAAGACTCCTAAACAACTGGAAGCAACAAACTAATGTTCAGCTCCTGTTAGTCTAAATCTGGATTACATTCATTATTGGCAAATTTCATTAATCTGACCTGTTACAGACTCTGTCTTCATCACAGTAAAGGCTGATTTTTAGGGACATTTTGATTGTAATAGATAAATAGAGAAACTGTAGAGCAAAGTGGAAGGTGTTTTGTGATTTTAGCAGCAAACTTTGTCATGTTAATATTCAGATAAATTTTGGTACCGAGTTGTAAAAAAAAAAAAGCAGCCTTCCCCAAATTCCTTTACACAACTGGAAGTACATCACATGTGTGCAGTTCAGACTTGATAAGAAAATGTTACTAGATCAAATCTAGTAAGAGTGCTGTCACAACATTTACTGCAAAGTTACTGTGGTCTTCATTCAGACATGAAGCTGACGTGTTCACATACGGTCAGATTAACAGAAGGAAGTACATGTCTGAAAGGGGATCAAGACTTTTTGCTGTAACAAAAACTTTTAGTGCAAACAACCACAACTAGCAATCACAACACGGAGAGAACAAACAGATACCTACGTTCTGCTGCTAGTAGTCCTAGCAGGTGGGAAGCATTAATACAAACAGACACACAAATAAGCACAGTTTTAAATGATCAGAGGTGCTGCAATCAGAGTTAAAACAGTTAGAAACAGTTATATCACAAGTGCATTGTTTGTGTTTTCAGTCGAAGCCTACTGTCACTGAACTCTGTATGCAAAACAAAACACACAACGATAAAGACGTCCTACAGGGATGTTTTCTTTCGCAGCATCTATTAACCTGCATAATGAGATAATCAGCAGATCGCTGTGTGTTCTGTACGTGTAGCAGCAGCTGGTGTGGTTTGCAGTGTAAATAGCCTTACAAAGAAAACAGAACTCGAAAGAAAGCGTTAAAACAGGAAGGAAATGTGAGGGAGGATGTGCGCCATCGATGGAAGAGCAGCAGGTGTCTGTGTACCTGAGGAGGTGGGGTCATCAGAGAAGTCATGGAGTTCTTCGGGGGGGTCTCCATAGAAAGAGTTAAACTTGTGGCTGGACACTGCAGCCAGAACAGCTCCCTGAAACAACAAGAGGAGCATCAACGTGAGCATCTGCAGCCCCGTTTATCTCATCATCACAACCACATGGCGGATGTTGCACAACTTTCATGCATGTCAGTTTGAACCTTAAGCTTCCTCCTGGCGTTGAACTTTCTCAGCTGCTCCACCGTCTCCGGCAGATGGATTTTGTAGGCATAGCGGTCCCTCTCCTTAGAAATTCAACACAGAGAAGAAAACTGCTTACACAAACACAACTCAACTAATTTCACACATGACAAGCATTTTACCAGCCATAAGGAGGGTGGACATTTTTAAAAGCAAACTCAAAACTTAGTCTGGCTTTTAACTGATACTACCTACTCAATTAATTCACTTGTTCTCATTACTATTTTAAAAACCGATTTTATTTATCTCTCAGTTTTATCAACCATCTAATATTGTCCTTTTTTGCTTTTATGAATTTTGACTAATTCTTCACCTGCTGATTCCTCGTTGCTTTATAACTATTTAGGACAGCGCTTCCTCTGTTCCATTGAGTCCTTTCTTTATGTCATAAAGTTGGTGAGTGGAGGCTATTGTTTCATTGCTTTTTTTCCCTTTTGTTCTGTGAAGCACTATGTGTTACATTTTATTCAAATAAATAAAGTCCAACTGACTGACTGTTACTCAGACACATGGAAATGGTGACATAACGTCCTCTGCCACTTTGAGGAAGCTTTGTCAAGTTGGGTTCAGTTTCAAGATTATAAACTGAAGAACCCTCTACTAGACTGGACATTAAGTTAGAACGCTGTTTACTTGCCATTGAAGGTGCTGTATTCATGTGAGAATTTAGTCAATAAATAACAACATAATATTTTTTTTTTCTGAGCAAGCAAATATGGTTACAGCAGTAAGTACAGTTTCAGTCGACGAAGGTTTTTTTGCCCACAGGGGTTACAAATACTGGTAAAATGTTGGCTCTTCATATTATAGATATTTAACTATTTGCATCTTTACATTGATTGCAAACTCTGCATTTTCACACTACTCTGCACATTAACTCCAGATGTTTCACCATGCTGACTGTACTCTCCAACGAAATCCTGACTACTTGCTTCTCTGCTTTCTCTTTATGAGCCATGCTGCGTTTATTTTATTGATCAAGTATGCTTTTGTCATCTCTCAGTCTATCTTGTCTCCTCTCTGCTCTGTGTACCCTGCCTGCACTTCAGCAGAAAACTGAAACTTTTGTCACTGTTCCTTTTTTTGGTCCTCTCTTATTGATTTAGCCATTAATCAATTAAGGGTTCCTTGGTTGCACTGAGCCCTGTGATAGACTGGCGACCTGTCCAGGGTGTCCCCTGCCTTCGCCCTAAGTCGGCTGGGATAGACTCCAGCCCCCCCGCGACCCTAATGAGGATTAAGCGGAGTATAGATAATGGATGGATGGATGGATGGTTGCACTGAGCATATCAGTTTTTTTTTTT